TGGAGTACTGCATCCAGCTCTGGAGTCCCCAGCATAAGAAGGACATGGACCTGCTGGAACACAGACAGAGGAGAGCCACGAGGATGAGAGGCTGAGAGAGTTGGGGCTGTTCAGCCTGGAGAAGAGAAGGTCTCCAGGGAGATCTTATTGCAGCCTTCCAGTACCTAAAGGGGGCCTACAGGAGGGCTGGGGAAGGACTTTTTACTAGGGCACGTAGTGAGAGGACGAGGGGGAATGGCTATAAACTGGAAGAGGGCAGGTTTAGATTAAACATTAGGAAGAAGTTTTTCACCATGGGGGAGGTGAGGCACTGGAACAGGTTGCCCAGAGAAGTTGTTGAGGCCCCATCCCTGGAGGTGTTCAAGGCCAGGCTGGACATGGCCTTGGGCAACCTGGTCTAGTGGGAGGTGTCCCTGCCTATGGCAGGGGGGTTGGAACTCAATGATCTTCAAGGTCCCTTCCAACCTAAACCATTCCATGATTCTATGATTTTCCTTTCAGTCTAGTTATGGGGAGGAAAAATAAGCCTGTTGTAGCAACATGCGTCTTGGAGAACTCAGAGAAAGCCGCCTTTATTTTCTTACCCAGTGTCCCTCTGTACACTATGGATAAAACGCTTCCAAACTTTCTGCCTAAAGATAGCTCATCTGCCAAAACACTACAAATAAGTGGCTAACACCTAACTTACACAGCACCCTTTACAATACAGTTATCCTGCCCCTCAACTCATTATTAAGCTGCAGTAGCTCATAACTCAACTACTACTGTAGATCAATGAACTAAGTTTGAGTGCATTTCAATGGTAGACTTGGGAAAAAGACAGCATGGCGCCCTCTGCCCAGACACAGTCATTCAACCAGGCTCTGTCCTCCTAAGAAACCAACGCAACTCATATGAGTATTTAACCACTCAAGATATTTCCACAGTGGAAGGAAAATGGGAGGTTGTTTAATTTGGGAAAGGTTCATGTGTGCCCTCATGCAATATACAGGTACAAACAAAACAGTCAGCTGAAATCTCTGAAAAACAAGTTCAAAAAGTACTTTAACTAGTTTTAACTGGTTTTACTTACCTTTAAAATCTCGCTGAGTACTTGTCTCAAGCTGTTGGGATTGTGCTACTGTCTTCAAGAGTTCCTGAATTACTACACGGTCATTGTTTCCTGCATCACTGTACCAGGAGTTTGAATAAAGATTGTTTTAAAACACCTTTATACTGCATATAAAATACATCATCCTAAGCAGCCCCTTGGTCAACCAAGAATGCCAAAAGAATTCAGAAGCTGTTGAGGTTAGACTTAAGCTCAACACACATACTTTTTGAAAGTTACCTTCCCAATAATAAAAACAACTCAAAGGTTAGGCAGGCACAGCTGAATTAGTAGCACTGTACTGGGAAGTACTGAAACTGTTGTCAAGTGTTTTATTAACTCTTTAAAACAGAACTTATTTTTCTGGTATGAGAAACAAACTTTTGTTACTTGTCATTTTGGCAAAGACATGTAATGTGAACATTTTTACCCATTATGGAAAGAAAAATTAAGTCTAACTAAATAATAGGATACCTGACTCAAATGAACAATGTAAATGCATAGTGTTTTTTTTCCCCTGAAAATTAGGTGTCATGCTATGAACAACTTAAATACCTAATGTAAACTTGAATGACAGATACAGTGAAGTAAACGAGTTAGTAGTAAACTACTGATACTCGGATACTATTACAGCACAAATGGTAAGCTTTTTCTTCCTCTTATAAGGCAGGAAAATATGGGGAAATAGTAGATTTCCCTCCTGCCTCTTCTCCTTACTGTCCCCTAGAGTAGCACTGCACAACTTTCTCAATCCCCGGGTTAGAAGCTTAGCTAGCTTGACTCAGATTTGACAACCACTGGGGACTGATTTACAAGCTGGATTACTGAAAAAGCAAAGAAAGAGTGGAAAAAAACCCCACACTCTTTAGCATCCTCAGACTATTGCCTTCACAGAGGCAGCAGTGGCTCTGCAATATTTCACTGGCAAGCAAATGCGTCCTTTTCTAGTCACCACTCAACCAGACCTTCCCCATTCTTGCCAAGGAGAAGGCAGCAGAATGTACAGGAGCACATTAGCTCAACAGTTCACAGTCTGCTGAATAGGCTATGCTGACTTTGACTGCAGAGATCTGTCCTTCAGTGACAGAGCAGACCTGTGATTACAGTGAAAGAACAAAAAAAGACAAAACAAAGTGAGCTGGTTCTACTTACAAGCTAGGCCAGTTTTTGGAAATGGAAAGTGATTAAAATAGTTTCCTAATATTTAAAGATAAGTTATTCTCTGCAGTAGAACAGAACCTAGTGTTATAACTTCACTATCCCTGATATTATATGACCACAGTAAACATTCCAGGGAAACAATGAACAAAGGCAGAGTTACCACACAAATGTTTACTTTTTGTTGTTTAATTCTTTTACTACTCACTTACTCAAGAGAACCCATTTTAAAGCACCTACCCAAACTAGTCAAGGGACCAGTAGACAACACTTCGGAATCCAAACAATATCTTCCTTTTGGAGGAAAAGAACTAGTCTATCTAATAAAGTTCCATAATAAATTCAATGTCTGCAGAGTCATAAAACGGTTTAGGTTGGAAGCGATCTTAAAGATCATCTAGTTCCAACCCCCCTGCCATAGGTAGGGACACCTCCCACCAGACCAGGTTGCTCAAAGCCCCATCCAGCCTGGCCTTGAACACCTCCAGGGATGGGGCATCCACAGCTTCTCTGGGCAACCTGTTGCAGTGCCTCACCATCCTCATAGTGAAAAATTTCTTCCTTCCCAGAAGTTAAGTTCCTCCCCCTGTGAGCCATTTATCATGTTCCATGTTATTCAAGGTGGACAACATGATTTCACAGTATTATAATTCAATCAAACTTCACAGACTACAGCACAGCACACACAGGTTCACTGTCTGGTCAGTCAGGCTGTATTAGAATACCAGCAATACGCTGAGATTAGTTACAGAACAAGCTTTTAAAGGAGACATGGTACATGAGAACAGCTTCTAAAACGCAGAGCAACGTGAAAAAAGATTTAGCAATAAGCACAAAGCTGTAAGTTGCTCCAGGATACACATTTTCTTGTAATTGCAACCCAGACAACAAAGACAACATAACCAAAGCCTCCCACCGGACAATGACATGTACTGTCATGTGATTTAAAGCAACATTAAAGGGTTTCAGGTAAATAGAAGTATTTGCTTTGGGTCAGTGAACGATCACCAGCAATTTCACAACTGTCAAAGAAGACATAGAGTACACCATTATAGCTTCTGTTGTTTAAATCAACATCTGACCTCGCTCGTGACAGGATTCCCAGTATTTTGTGGTGCTGTTTTCGCCTGTGCTTTAAATTCTTTATTTTAAGAGCCCCTGGGTAAATCTTGCTTACTTTCAAATCACTGTACTTTCATATTTGTGAGAGAACTAACAATATGGGGGTGTTAGTTACAATAAAAGTTCTCAATTTCAACCTAAAAGGTTAAATTTATGAATCCAGAATTGTTTGTTACCCAGTCTTCAACATCAGCATACTTATGTGGCTAGTTAAGCAGAACATTACTGTCTTTAGTATACAGCAATCCAAATTTTTGTTCATTTAGAGCTGTTCAATTAAAAATCCTCTCCCTGCTCCTATTTGCAGTCCAAACCCATAAACCATTGTCCAATTTATTGCCTGAACAATCAGGCCCTTATATACCCACACTGAAACCACTTTCAGTATGACCAGCGGCTTATATTTGAAGTGGGACATTTTTACCGTACACTTACCTTGGGTTAACTTCCAGGTGATAATTACTTGCAATGGTGCTAATTTCAATTTTCTTTTTAGAAGGTGCCTATGTAGAAAGTAAGCATAACAAATTTCAGAAAAAGTGTTCTAAAAATCTGATGCACAAATTTATCTTACAGATTACAACTGGCTGGATCAAACCCAAAGTCTCAAAGATCAAAGAACTGCCAAGACACTAGACTTACACATCTCCTACCCCCCAACCCCTCCCCAAAGCAGAAAAGGAGTACTGACATATCATCCAGCCTGTAGAATAATAGCAATAATGATTACTATAGCAACACATAGTACATATTACTGCATACTCCAGTAACTGAGTCTCATAACAAGAAACCTTATTATTGGAATCAGCTGTTCAAAGGAAATGATACCTTGTCCCTCAAAAAAAAAGTTTTGGAGGAAGAACCTGTGGATGAGCCTGAAGAGGCTGTTCACTTCTCTTGGCAAAGTATTTTAAGTCCACACTTGGTTTAAAGAAAACACTAGTATTTCTATCACTTCTAAATTTGTGTCTGAACAGTTAAATATACCCTATATTTCTGTCACCCAATCCAAGTATTATCTTTGTTCCACTACTGAGAATTAAAAAGCAAGCATTAAACAACCTACTTATCAATAAAGCTTGATAACCCCTTACTGGTTAAGCCTTTCATAACAAGGATTTTGAATAGATAATATAACCTTTTAATAATAATCAATTAAATGCCTAAGACCAAGGCAGATAACATTTAAACACTTTTTTTTTTTCTCCTAAAGCTGAAATTGTCACTATGGGAATAAGAAAACAAGTTAGAACTTGCATATATAAAAAAAAACGGTACTAATAATTTAAAAAAATAAGGGTTACATTTACAGATAAATGAAATTCTATATATCTAATTGAGAGCTAGTCTATTACAACGCACACTGTTGTCCAAACTGATGTGTGGGGGAAAAAACTAAAACACCACAACAAAGAAACAATCACAGAAAACAACAGAAAACCCCACATCCTCCCACCCACAAAGACCTAAGGAACAGGAATATCTGACAAAACCACTTGTTTAACTAACCAAACTAGTCCGATTAATTATATAAGAGAGCTTGAAGACACTGAGTGCAAAAAAAAAAAAAGAGACATATCTTAACACTCAAATAAATATAAAGGTCTTACAGCAGAAATGTATCAGTATATAAATATCCGCATTACTTTGCAGCAGATGGGAGATTTATTTTTTTACCGTTATACTCTGATGCTCAATCCTCAGTTTTTCCACTCCTGAACCATATAATTCCCTTAACAAACACATTATTCTTGTCTTTTTTCCAGCTCCTGACGGTCCATACACCAACAGATGAGGGAAGTCACCACACTGAACCTGAACACAAAGCAACAAGATTAGTTAGCTGCAACAATATTTTCCCTGTAAAATAGTGTTTGTCTTCCGCTCTCACCCTCTTTTACATGAAATGACTTTTCCAGACGCAGCTCAGTCACAACATAGTATGTAAAATTAGAACTTAGTTTCTTTCCTGCAGCAATATTTCCTATCATCTTTTTCTGAAGACCATATGTAACTCATTTAACTCCAAACACCCCACACCTCAAAAAAAGACAACAATCAAAACAAACCTGAAAACCAACAAAAAACCACCCCAGCATTTACATGCTTTCCAGTGTTTCTGGAGTGACAGCTGCAATAAATGCACAGTAAAAAGGATTAAAACAAAGTTTAAAGCAGATATACACAAATAGAATTATGCACATATATGCCTATAAATAATTATTTCGTTGTTTCATTTACAAACTTTGGATGTGAGCAAAATAGTAATAGATTGCATGTATTTAAATTAAGTTAGGAGTTTGCTTCTTGAAAAGCTAAAGAGTATGGCCTGAAGAACATCTGCCCAAACCCCACAGCCAGAATTTACATTAGTTAGACACAACAGCCATGGAGAAACATCGGTCTAGGGAACACAAGTCAGCACATCGCGGGAGGTTAAGTCCTTTAACATCCAAGAATTACATAGTCCTGAGTTTTATTCCCAGCGCCTCACCTTAAAACTTCCCTTAACTTCAGGTAAACAAGGCAAGCCCTGTTCTCAGAGACACCGATCATTCTCAGCTATAACCAGCAAGGAAGCACAAACGCACATTACTCCTGAAAAAGTAAAGCTGCCAGTTTCCTCGCAGCCTTTCCCTTAGCACAAAAGCCGCGCTCCCGAGCGGGGCACGATGCCACCGGACCCCC